ACTAACAGAGTTTCAACCAGTGTAGCATCCGGCTTGTTACCTCTGTCCCAGAAGGCTGCAGAGCTGACCCACACGGCCTTTGCTCCTTTCCACATACAGACCCCTTGAAAATTTCTCAAGCCAGAGTGCTTGCTCTGCGAGCGACGGCCTCCACCAGCCGGGTCTTGGCCGACAAAAGTCCGCCAGGGAAGGGAAATGCAGATGTGCTGCCTGCTCTGCACGCGCGATGGGAAGGCACACACCCATTTATTTATTACATTTGTATGTTGCCCCATTGCCGAGGGCCCTCTGGGCAGCTCCCAAAAGCAACAGTCAGTGATACAGCGCATAAAACCAAAACAAGATTTTTAAAAACCTAGCGAATCCAGTACATCCAAAATCCCATAAATATCCAGTGGGAACAGGCGAATAAATGCACAGAAACAATACAGGCAAGCAGTAAAATAACATGATAAAACCGTGCTATACTAAAAGCAAGTGCAGAGTGAAAACATCCTTGCCTGGTGATGGAAGCTGAATAGGGAGGGTGCCAGTCACACCTCCTTCGGGAGAGGACGCCAGAGGCGAGACATGGCAGTGGGAAAAGCGTTTTTCCTTGCCATTTCCCCGCTTACTCCGCTTCTGGGGGCTCGCAAAGGAGGACATCCATTGCAAGTCTTGAGGGCCAGCAGGGATGTGCAGAGACAGGCCTTCCTTCAGCCGCCCCCCCCCCCCCCAAGATGCAATCTTCCTGGCAAGAGGGGCTTGGGGAGCTTCTGCCACAGTCGCCCACCCCGGGAAAAGCCCTGCATTCGTGTCTGAAAAGAGTCAGCAAAGCCCGTCCGACCTTTCCTGATACCAAGAACGCAGGCGGCTGCACCGGGAGACGGGGACACAAAGAGATGCCCCGGAGCGGCCGCGGGTAGATGGCCGATGCAATTTGCCTCCATGAACATTGTGTCTGCGTTCTGGGGCAGCTGTCCCACTTCAAGGGCGGGCCAGGAAGGGATTGCGCCTTCCCGGAGCTGGTGCTCTCCAGCAGCCATGCTGGGCATCGTGGTCCAGCTTCCAGAGGGTGCCAGTGTGGGCCGGCTGGCACGAACAGTGCATATATGTTTTTAAACCCTGCCCCAGAAAGTGGGCATGGCTGGGCGGAGGAGGGAGAACCTTCCTCCTTGCCCCGCTTGTTCTTTATGGCCCAGCCGTCCCACACTCTGACCCACCTGCCGCCCAACCCAAAGCAGGGCCTTCCCTTCTCATTCATCCGCTCCCCGGGCCTTGTGCCTTCTTGGGAATGGATCTGCCCCACCACATCCCCTTGTGCAGGCCCAAGGACCGCCGCGCCACCGTGTCCTCTGGCGCCAGGCTGAAACCGGCCAAATGCCCAAACACAGCCGCACAACCCAGATGAGCCATCTGTGGGCAGCGCTGGAAGTTCCCACTTGGACGCCTCCCATGCGGTGCCATTTGGAAGAGGCCGGATCTTCCCCCAGGCCAGGGTCCCCTGGAAGGAATCGCTGGAAGGCGATTTGGCTCTCGGCTCTGTCTGTGAGAGCCCCCCTGCCATTGTGCGTAAAGTTGGGCTTCCGGACTGCGTTTACGAGGGCGTCGCCAGTTCCCCTTTTGTTGTCGTCATTAGAACAGTTTGGACCATCTGTTAATGGCAGAAAAATGTCTCACGTTCCCTTGAATAATATATTCCGCACATAACTGCAAGGCTCTGACGATTGCCTTGTTTAGGAGGTCAATTCTTAGAACATTCCGCTTTGGTTCTTCTTAGGCCAGGGCTATGCAGTGACACACCAGTGCCTGACTTAAAGGGGGGATGCCCCACTCTTGCCAGAATCCAGTTGATCAGCAGGGCCAGGAAGCCTCCTGCCGAGGACTGTCTTGGGATGTTGCTTTGCCCAAAAGCCGGGCAGGCATTGAATAAATTCCGCCATCCGTGGCCATGCCGTAGACTTCACGCCGCCCTTGCAGCATTCTGCAACTCCCGGGCCAGAATTCCCAGTGCTCCCCAAGGATGAACCGTGCAGGATGGTGGATGATATTACAGAGGGGGATTTTTGCTGCTCTGGAGATGTGCTCCGGGCTTTCCCTCGGCAGGCACTCCCCATCCAGCAGGACCTCACCGGCCAGGCCTGAAAGCCGCTGCCTGAGGTGGCAGCTGCCAGCAGCATCGTGGGTTCAGGCGGGCGTCTCGGCCTCCACTGAGCCCCCGTCGCGTTCTTCGGCTCACCCCTTCCAGGCTGGGGCTGGGAGAGCCCCTGCCACATAAATAAATCACACTGACTTATCTAAATAAAAGATTGTTCCCGGTGCAACAGGAAACGGGCAGGCAATTAGCAGTGGAGGGTGGCGCGGGCGGCCCTCTGCAGAAGCGCCGAGCGGGCTGCGCTCTCGCTGCTCTTCCCGCACAAGGGCGGGGTGCCTGTCAGGGGTGCTCTTCAAAGCCCCTTTGATGGGTCCTTTGCCGGGCGAGAATAAGTATATTTTTCAAAGGAAGCGCTTGAAAGATTAGCTTGCAGGAATGGGTCTTTCTGGATATAATTGCATCTCTGAAACAGAAATAAAAACCTCTGAGGGAAGTGATGTGTCATGATGTTGTTTTTCTGAAAAAATGGCAAGATCCGCCACCTGCTCTGTAGCCTTGCCATGTTTGGGCAACTGAGCCAGAGAGGAGGGGCTGATGAGACGCTTGGGGGGACGCCGCGGCACTTGGCCTGGGGGCTGATTTTTCCACAGCCCTGGGCCGCACGCAGAGTGCCTCCCACCTGCCCTCCATGCGTGGCCTGCCCGGTGGCGGCGGCTTTCCTCCTTTCTTCTGCGGGTGGAAAGTGTGACCAGGGAGTGCGCCCTCAGGCCCCATTCCCACGTCCTCCTCCTCTCATGCACACAAACACGTGTGAACATGCGTCGCAGCGACAGCGACCAGCCCTTTGAGCGCAGGGGATGTGTTCTGCTTTGCAAAATGCACCCAGTGGAGAAAATCAAGAGAGCGAGAGTTGCGTCCGGTGCTTGTGCGCAAGCAGAGGCATGGATGGGGAGAGGCCTCAGCGGCCGTGTCTCCATTCTCCCTCCTTCCTTCCTTCCTTCCTTCCTTCCTTCCTTCCTTCCTTCCTTCCTTCCTTCGTGGCCGAAGGAAAACATGCCGAGTGCGTGGGAGCTGTCCGGCCGTGTGTGCAGTGGGCGGCAGGGGGAAGCCCTGAGGGGCGAGCCTGGAATTCTCCTTTCAGGCTGTCAGGCACGGGGGGCCGGGAGCCACACTGGGCAGGTCTGCACGTCGTGGCAAGCCGTCCTGCAGGACCGTCTCGTTATCGTGGGTTATGGTGTGCGTTACGTGGGATATTGGGGGAAAACGTGAGATGCACCCGGCAGCCCTTAGGATTGCTCCCCCCCTCCGCTCCCCACAAGTAGCCCTGGGACTCCATGCGCACCCACTTCCCTGCCCTCCTCCTGCTGGGGCTTTGCGCTCTCTGCCCCCTTTTCTCCTTCTCGTTTTGAGCTCACATGAAACAGGCTGCCGCCCACGGACGGGTGGGGAGGTCTTGCCCAGCCCCCTCCATGTGCTGCTCCTGTTCGGCTTCTCTTTCCCACAGGCACGCAGCCGGTCTTTCCCCACCCCGAATCGGGGATTGGGCACGATGGCCGAAGAAGGCCCAGACGGCAGCCCAGGGGGGCACTTGTGCCAGGGCCCGCTGGAGCGCTCGCTTCGTGGTCGGGGAGTGCACAGTTCCACTTCTGCGACCAAGCCGTTGGCCCTAAAAAATAAAAGACGAAACAAGGCAGCCTAAAAGAGCTTTTGCCCTTTTTGCTTCCACATTGCATCCTTGGCTCATATTCCACTGGGGGGGGGGGGGGCATCTGTGCAAACCTGCGCAGGGAGGCCCCCCTCCTGTCCTTGCTGCCCCAGTCTCAGGCTGTGCTCCGTCTCCAGTCCCCCCAGCATCGGATGGGGAGCCTTACTTTCGCATCAGGCCCTGGGAGCTTTATTACTCACTGTCTCTAAATGGTGTAAATTCTTAGGTATACAAGGTGTGATTTTTATCATGCTGTGAACCACTAAGGAGCTTTGGCGGGTGGGTGTAATGAGGGTGGCTTTCGAGGGACATTAGATAAATCCGTGGAGAACGAAGCACTCGGTGGCTTCTAGCTGCCCGGGCTTTTTACCCCCAAGGTGAGAAGCAGCTTGACTGCATATGCCAGTTGAGGGGAATCTGAGTAGGCAGGTAAGCCGCCCCCCCCCAATGGCTGGAGAAGTTCCTGCATGGACACAAATTAATTACAATTAATTGCCATGTTTGAAAGATCAAAGTAACCACAGCGTGTGCACGTTTGGGTCTCACGGACTTGGTACTGGATGGGTGGACAGGTGAATGGACAGACACCCTCTCGATGTCTCCAGGGATCTCGTCCACCAACGCGCAGGAAAGAAAAGTGGGACTCTCCTGTTGTACTGCTGCCTTGAGGGTGCTACTAGGAGGAGAGCAATGGCCACGATCCGAAGCAGTAGTGCCATATGCCTTGGGAAGGGGACTTGGGCTGGTGTTCTCCAGTAATAATAGAAAGAGAAAAGTTTCAGAAGCAGCTTATCTAATGACAAGTGGAGGCCGCCGTTTAAAGGAGGAAGAGATCTTACTGGGCGGGGGGCGAAGCCCACCAGCCTGCAGCCGTGCTTTGGCCCTTCCCTAAAAGACAGCTTCGATCCCAGTCAGCAGGAGTGGCGAGCGCAGGCGCGACATCCTCCCGGGAATTTGCTCCCATCCTGCTTCCCTTTGTATCCCTTGCACAATGCATGATGGGAGAGGAGCAACTGGGACCAAGGCATCCGGCGGGGAGGGACCAGTCTTCTCCCCTTGCTTGCGCTTGAGGGAGGCAGGGGAAACGATGCTGCAAGAGCCAGGCGAAAGCGGGGAGAAGGAACGCGTCGCGCAGCCGCGTCGTCTCCTCCTGCGGCCTGAGGAGGGTGAGCGTCCTCTCTGCTCCGCCACACTGCCCCAATTTCTCCTTCTTCTGCGCAGTTCTTCTGGGTCCTGCTGGCAATCCTCGTGATGGAGCTGCTGCTGCTGCTGATTGAGATCCTCTTCGAGAAGCAGGTGAGCAGCAACAGTGCCAGGGCTGGGCCGGGGCCCTTCCGGCGGGACAGGGCAGGCGGCTCTCCGGAGCACCACATCTCTTGCCCACTTCAGGTCTGGTGATCGGAAGAGGGCAGAGTCGGGCGACTCCTGCAGACTTCCGACCCTGAGATGGGCCGCTGAGGATGTAACGCGCACGCGTGTGTGGAGGAAATGTGCACCTAGAGCTCCTTTGGTGCAAGCGAGCATGTCGGTGCGGCCTGGGTGCTGGAAACGGGGTAGTTCTGGCAGGAGGTGTGCATCGTTTCCGCTGCCCATCTGAGCAGCTCGTGCGGCAGCAAAGCAAGAGTGGTGCGCTTTCCTGGACTGTTTACCAAGTGGGTCAGGCGGCCTGTCTCAGAGGCTGAAGCCCACAAGCTGTCTCCGCTCGCGCAGCAGCAAATCACAGGCGGGGGGCGCGTCATGACGATCCGTCCTCTGCAGATGGCGGGGAGCAGCCGTGGCCAGAAATGGAGCGATGCCCACCGCGCTTGCAGCTCGGATGGGCTGGGCAGAGCGTGCCGCCCTCCCAGTGCTGCTGGCCTGCAGCCCCACTCAGCTCCAGCTCCTGGGGCTCTGCAGCCCAGCCCCGTCCCAGAGACCCTGACCCTTCATCAGGCTGCGTGGTCCCAGTCAAGCCTTGGAGGTGAGAGATCACAAGAGGCTCATCTCTTTCCCCCTGCAGGCGCTCAGTGACAGCCACGTGGCACTCGCTGCTTCCTGGCTATTTGCTTAGGGCAGAGTCCCCATATCTATTTAATTTGGAATAAATAAAAATTACAACGCATGGTACAAATCCAATGAATGAATAAGAAAGTGGAGTATGGGATGCTTGCATGCAGCACGTCCCTGAAGGGCTTTTCCTGAATTCAGCACTGGCACCATCCCTGTGCCAGGAGCTGCTTCCCCCTTTTGAATGAGGGGATTTGGATCTCCAGTTATTAAAGCTCAAGATCTCAGTTCGGGGACTAGATCAAAACAACCCTGTTTTTTAAAACTGTATGTAATCACAGTTGCCAGTTTAAAAGGAAAGTGCGTAACCAACAAGAGAAGGGGAAAGACAAGGACTCACTGGGCTGCAGAGGGCTCGATGTGTGGGGTGGGGTCTCCACAGGGCAGCGTTGCGTGCAGAGCGCGTCTGGGCTTCGTGGGCAGTCCTGTAAGCCAACAGCCGTGTTGGGCACAGACCAGGGCAGGCCGTGCCAGCACAGTCCGGTTAGCAATCACCAAGGCAGATGGAGCCGGAGGAGGCGGAAGCGAATGGGACGGGTAGCAGGGGGTGCCATCCAGGAGCTGTTGGGCGGCCTCATCCTGCTCCCTCCCAGGAACAAAAACAGGCAGGAAAAGGCCCCAAGCCGGAGAAGCGACCAGCCCCAGGCCCTGCTTGGCTTCGGGGCGTCTCTGCTTACTGCACCGACGACCGGCTCGGCCTCCCCTTTCCTCTCCTCTCCACTGTGCATCCTCCAAGCTTCTCTCCAGGACCAGAACCCTCCACAGGCGAAAAGCGGCTGGGTGGCTCACAGGGTAAGAAGGTGGCTGGGCAAAGAGCGAGGCAGGGGCATGCATTTCTCTTCTGCAAATCTCTTCTCCATTGGCTTGCTGCGGAGCCTTTTCTATGGGCCCACTGGCTTCCCACCAGTGAGTGGCCGGGCAGGAGCTCTGCACCTCCTTTGGGCCACGAAACCGTCCCAGGGAACCCGCAGCTCACGAGGGACGCCTGTCCCCTTTCAGCGCACTGGCCCTGCCCTCGCAGGGCCTGGAGCAGCCGGGAACGTGCCTGCGCTTCCTTGACTTCGTTATTGCAGGCAATTAAAGGGAAACGATGTGGCAGCCGGCTCCTAGATGGAGAACAATCAGGACTGACAGGTTAATCAACATCCACACCACAGAATTCTTGGTGTTTGAGGCTTTTTAATAACCTTCCATGTCTTTTCTACCTTGACATCCACTGTTTTTACTTTTCTCTGCTCTTTAAGATGTTACTTTTAAATTCATTCTCCAGCTTACACCACCACTGTAATTTTCATGTCGGAATTAATTAGGCAAATTGGTTTGTGTGTGTGCAAGAGTGTTCCAACGAAAAATCTGAAACTGTTGCCTTCATTAAAATTTCTCGGTATTTGTGCCTGGTGGGACTTTGTCAGGAGTCAAAACAGCAAATGTTCTTGGGAAGGCCTCTCATCTGGAATTACGGCCTCAGCTTTGAGGGATGCCAGTAGCATCAAAAGCATCTGTAAGATACATTTTAGATGCAATTACTGCTTAATTCTTCTTCATGGATCACTGCCTTGTCTTGGCGAAGGGGCTTGCGTAGCGCAATGAAGCTATGAGCTGTGCCATGCAGGGCCACGCAAGACGGACCGGTCACAGCAGAGAGCTCTGACAAAACGTGATCCCCTGGAGAAGGAAATGGCAACCCACTCCAGTATCTTTGCCATGAAAACCCCCGGGACGGTACCAATAGGCAACAGATATGACGCCGGAAGATGAGCCCCTCAGGTTGGAAGGTGTCCAATGTGCTGCTGGGGACGCGCAGAGGGCTAGTACTCGTAGCGCCAGAAAGAAGGAAGCGACTGGGTCAAAGCCGAAGGGACACTCAGTTGCGGATGTATCTGGTGGTGAAAGGAGAGTCCGATGCTGCGAAGATCTATACTCCATAGGAACCCGGAGTGTAAGATCCATGAATCAAGGCAAGCTGGATGTGGTCAAACAAGAGATGACAAGCCTGAACATCGGCATCTTAGGAATCAGTGAACTAAAATGGACAGGAATGGGTGAATTTAATTCAGATGACCATCAGGTTTACTACTGTGGGCAAGAATCCCTCAGAAGAAATGGAGTAGCCTTCATGGTCAATAAAAGAGTAGGAAAAGCAGTACTGGGATACCATCTCCAAAATGACAGAATGATCCCAGTTCAAATCTAGGGCAAACCATTCAACATCTCAGTAGTCCAAGTCTATGCCCCAACCACTGGTGCTGAAGAGGCTGAAGTTGACCAGTTCTATGAAGGCCTACAACACCTTCTAGAATTAACACCAAAAAGGGATGTCCTTATCATCATGCGGGATTGCAATGCGGAAGTAGGAAGCCAAAAGATTACCGGAATAACAGGCAAGTTTGGCCTTGGAGTACAAAATGAAGCAGGGCACAGGCTGGTAGAATTTTGAATTCTGTCAAGAGAATACGATGGTCATAGCAAACACTCTTTTCCAACAACCCAAGAGACGACTCTACACTTGGACATCACCAGACAGTCAACACAGAAATCAGATTGAGTATGATTTTGAGATTTTGAGAAATGAGATTGAGATACTGAAGATCAAACTCAAGTACTCTGGCCACCGAATGAGAAGGAAGGACTCTCTGGAGAAGAGCCTGATGCTGGGAACAACTGAGGGCAAAAGAAGGAGGGGGCGGCAGAGGATGCGGTGGCTGGATGGAGTCACTGAGGCAGTCAGTGTGATCTTAAGTGGACTGTGGGGGATGGTGGAGGGCAGGAAGGCCTGGAGGAGTGTTGTCCATGGGGTCACGATGGGTCGGACACGACTTCATGACTAACAACAACAAACTGCTTAATCTGAGGAGCCTGACATGTCATAGTGACCTTCAGGGTATCTGCTCTAGGAATTATGGGAAGCATCACTGATTGAATTAAATTATCAAAAGCAATTCCTTAAAAATCGAAAAGCATTGCTTACACACAGCTTGGCCTTTCTCTTCCGTAGTTCTGTGCCTTCATTTGCATATCTTCCTGTGCTGAACAGTTCTGCATTTGTTTTCAGCCCAACATGGGCCTGGCAGGATGGCATGCTTTGGAGGGGATGGAGGAGCATTCGCGGTCCCAGAACGGCAAGGGGGCATGCCGGGCCTTCGCTGTCCCCATCTGTCTAAAACCATTAAAAAGGTGGATGCTGTTCACATCAGAGCTTTACATGGGCTCAGAAACACTCTGGCCTCTTATTTTTGCTGTGTCCTGGTACACAACAAATACAACGTGGTCCCCTTCGGAAAGGAAAAGGGCTCCGCCACAGAAACACGTCTGTACCCGGCCTCTTTGGTTTCTGAGGGGAAAAAGGGGGAGCCCTTCCGGGGCTCAGACAGGGGTGCCAAGAAAGGTTAAGCAGAGCAGCTAGCCCAGGCAGCTCCGTCAGAGGGAGGATTCCTGGCGCAGGCAATGAATTCAGGCTGCCACTCGCCGGCAATTGTCTGTTGCGGCTTTTGCACTCCTGTGCAAATGTCAGTTCGTCCGGGGCGTAGGTGCGCCCACTGCGGCCCGTAGCTTGGCTGGAGGGTCCGTGGGGGTCAGCAGGGTGACCCAAGGCCTGCCCCTTCCGGCCTCCCCGGGCTGTTCGTTGACCGCAGGCCGGGTTCCCCGCAGGCTGTGCACCCCACACCCCATCCTGCTGGAGGAGGAACTCTCCTGGGGCTCACGGCTCCAGCGCTGGCCCAGTACTCGCACCAGCCCCACGTGGCTTCCATGCCCCGGCGCCCTCAGCTGTGGTTTTTCACCCACGCGGAGAAGGCTGATGTTGCGCCTCTTAGCAGGCCGCGTTTGTTTCCAAGGCCTGCATTGGCCTCCAACATCGTGACGTTTTGACAGAATCCGTGGCGGAGGCAAGGCCCCTCGCCAGCCGTGCCGCGTGGCATGGCGGCTCCTTGCCCTGCCGTCCCGTCACCTGTTTCCTCTCTGTTCCTTCCCAGATGAATGCAGTGTTTCATTCCAGCATCCAGGATGGGATCAGGCACTATTATGACGACTTAGACTTCAAAAATATTTTGGACTTCGTTCAGCAAAAGGTATTTTGTTGTTTGTGTACAGTGGTATCTCCGTGTGGGGTCGCATCAGTGGCATGTTCAGGCTCACAGGAGAAGCTCGGAGCAGGCTCAGGGCAGGAACAAAATCAGACTCTAGGCAACTCCGTAGTGCCCTGCCGGCTGGGCCCATAGGAGGTTGTTGTCTTAAGGGGTGGCTGAAGCCAGCTGAGATGCTGGCCAGACGGACAAGGCCCATGGGCCGGCTCTGCCCTTCCTGGAGGGGCTCGGTGGATTTTTAAGAGGTTCTTGCCTGGCTTGTATCTGGAGACTCATGCAAAGCCAGAAAGACAGAGAGTCTGCCAGGGATTCTGTCCCTGAGTTGGAGGAGAGGGGCAGGAGCCCAGGAGGGCCCTAAATCAGGCCCTGCCTGTCCTGACCCGTGCTTCCCTCTCTTCGGAATCCTCCTTTGCAGACGGAAAGGCCATAAGCTGTGGGCAGGGATCGTGGCCCAGCCACGAAGCAGGAGAGCCAGAGCTGTGAAGGCCGGGGGGAAAAAGAGAAACCCGAAGGCCTTTTCTGAAGGCTGTTTGCTCGCTTGTGGTAGCAGCCTCTGGCCCTGGAGTGGCCTGGGGGGCGGTGGGGGCCCCTCCATCACGCCTCCCTCCTCGGACCATCCTGCTGGCGAGGTGCAGTGCGCATGAAATGGGGACGTGCGCGAGCAGAGCCCACCGGAGCAGGGCCAGAGCCCAGCCAGATGGCCAGGAGGCCCCTCCGGCCACGCTTTCTTCCGCACGCCTGAGCGCAGCGCTTCCCTTCGCCTTTTGCAGCTCTCCTGCTGCGGGGGGGACGACTTCCGCGACTGGCACGTGAACCCGTACCACTCCTGCAATGGCAGCAGCCCCCTGGCGTGTGGGGTGCCCTACACGTGCTGCATCCAGAAGGTGAGACGGGGGGGGGGAGGGCGCGACACGTTCCCCCAAATGCGCACGTCTCCGCCGTGTTGCAGCTAAACCTGCCGCACCTCTCCACGTCCACGCAGTCCAGCCGGACTGGCCCGCGAGCCGCCGGGAGTCCGGGCGTCGTTCCCAGGGTGCTTTCAGTGCCACTCAAACCCCGTGGCTTGTGCTTAGGAGCGCGTCCCGGTGTGGGGGCCTCCCGCAGCAAGAGCTTTGGTCGTGCAGCATTTGAACCCATGCCTCATTCACCTCCTCACATGAGGCACACCTCGTTTCTGAGTTTCCTTGGGCGAAGCTTCCAGCCCCGTGGGGGGTCGAGCTGATTCACGACGGGCTCGCAGGGGAAGGCCTTTCACGGGGTCCAGAGCTCATTGCCAGGCACACCGTGTGCATCTCTGCAGACGCAGGTGCCTGGGATCCCAGCAGTCCGATCGCCATGTGGAGCTTGGTGCTTTATAAACACGGAGGGAGCAGCGAAGGTGGGAAGGGAGGGAACGGGCCGCTGAGCCGCCTCCTTTGGGATTCAGTGGGGAGAATCACCAGGGTGGCTAGACCAGGTGAATTGCAGCCTGCTGCCGCCAGCACTTCTCTCGCATGGCACGCAGATCCTGTGATCCGCAAGAAGGCAGTGGAGGGAGCATTCTCCCAAAGAATGGAACTGCCAAAATACCTCTGGCAGCTTCTGGAATTAAATTCTGCCAAAACCTGGGCCCGGTCCCAGCAGAGCTCCCTCATGGGAGCAGCCCCCTGGCAGGTCTTCCCCGTGCAGTCCGTGGGAACGTTCTCGGAGCCTCCCGAGCCCACAGCTGGTCAACACCGGAGGAGAACGGCTCTCTCGCGTGGGTCGGGCCGCCCACGTTGCACAGCGAGGCGCTCTGCAGAGGTGGGGCAGCTCATTTCTTCAGTGGGGCGTTTCAGAAACAATTGAACCAGCTTTTCTAGCAGAGCACGCAACCGACGCTGGAATGGGTGAGGCCTCCAGCCGGCTCAGAGCCGGGTCCATCCCGTTCACTCCGTCCACACAGTGCCCATGAGAAGCCAGCAGCAGCACCGGGCCCATGTTCCCCAGCAGGCGGGACACAGGCATTCCCATAGCCATTGAGAGCCAGGTTGTCCTCCATAAATTCCTGCCGTGGCCCAGCCAGCCAGCTGTCCAGGCTGCATCCCTGGTTTAACCAAGCTTCCTTTTCTCTGCCCGCCAGTCCAACTTCTTGGGATGCCCCACTAGATTCCAGCATTATGGGAAAGGGGGAAACGCCTCCCTGCTTCCTCAGTTCCTTTGGAGTCTGAGGAACTGAGGCAAGCAGTAGTGGCGAAAGATGAGTTCCTCAGCCTCACGGAAAAGCAAAACACTAATAGGTCGCTGGGCATGTCCTGCAGTTTTTAAAGGACTCAAATGGGGAATTGCTGACCATATCGAGCATGTCCTTAAATCCAGTCCCTGTCCCAGAGGGCAGCGCTGCTTTCAGAGTCCGCAGATCAGGCCGAAGACCAAGCGTGCCGTCCTCTGGACCGCAGGAGGGATCCCCCTGGTTCCTGGGCAGAAGCTCACCTGTGCCTCTCGGGCAGGAAGGAGTCGCTGTAAATCGGGCTGAGGGAGGAGCACGTGTCGGCTTTGCCGTGCTTAGCGGTTTCTCCAGCAGAAAGAGACGTGGCGACGTTTGTGCAAAGAGTGCTTGGCTGTTAACCCGTCCAGCGTGTGCCCGGCGCTGGGGCAGTTGCGCACGATGAGGGAGCGCATGCTCACTGCCTCCGGCACAGGGGCAGAAGCGGCTGGCAGGAAGGGGTGCCGGACCCCACAGGTGGCTCGGGGACGCGTCCGCTCCTCCGCTGCCCCCAGCCCTGAGGGCAGCAACTTCCTCCTTGGGAAAGGTTGCCAGAGGGACTGAAATCAAGCAGGAGAGTGTAAACAATGTCTTTGCACAGACACTGCTGTGCCCACACCTCAGATGGTGAGCTTGCCTGCTCACCCCGTAAACTCAGAGGAGGCTGACGCAGAAGATCAGGGAAGACATGGCGAGGCATGGGCTGAAAATGGGTGTCGCACAGCCAGGCGGTCCGGCTGGAGGGCCAGGCATGTGATCGCGTGACCCACGGATCTGCCAGTGGGACCAGGGCTCTGCCCCTGCCGCGCTCGCTCGCGCCCTTGCTCCCGGGGCCTTTTGGGGAGGGCCTTCCCTTGCGGCCCCGCTCCTCAGTTGCCCCTCCTTGGCACACGCAAGCCGTCCATCCCAAGTTGTGGGGAGGGCTGCTGGTTGAAACGGCTTTTCCAAAACGAGCTAAGCGGGGGTGGGGGTGTGGCGGGACGCTTCCCCTGCTTCGGAGTAGGGAGGACGCTTCCCCAGCCAAATACCAGCCGGAAGTGGGTAGGAGCCCCCCCCCCCACGCGACAGCCCCCGAGCTCCATGGGTGGCCCAGCCAGGGTGGGGCTTCCCCCCACGTGGCCTTTTCAGTGGGGCAGCTTGTCCGCACCCCTTGCAAAGGATCTGCCGGCCAAAAGGCCTTCCCCGGGAGTCTGAGGCTGAAAGGGACTTGGCTTTAGATCTGTAAGCAGCAGCTGGCTCTTTCCACTGTCACAGAGGTGCTGAGCCCCAGGTCTGCTTGGAGCCCCGGCGTGGGCGCACAACGCAGGGGTGGGGGGGTGCCCGAGAGAAAAATGCAGCAAGATGTAGCCGCCAGGGACGGGTTCTTGTGCTCCTCCAGGGAGTTCCGACCACTGGGAGACACAGAAGGGCAACCAATGCGCACAGGCAAATGAGCACGCTCGGTTACGGCCACGGCCGGCTCTGGATGGTTGTGGCCCGCAAATGCAGGGCCGCGGCAGACGGAAGGTGCCCCACCGGCCTCCACCTGCCCCACCAGCTTGGCTTCGCTTGGATTGCTGTTCCGCTTGGAACAATCCTCCCTGTTTTTTCCTCTGAACAGGACCCGGGAGGAGTAATCAACACGCTGTGTGGATACCGGACCCTCAACAAAGAGGTGACAACCCAGCCTGTGAGGGGGTGGCCCAGGCGCCGGTGGCGGGGGTGGAGGGGAGGCGCAGAGGTGCCACTGGGATGAATGGGAACTGCGCAAGACCCCGTGGGGCTTGGGCTAGGGGGCAGCCCACTGCAGCGCCACTAGGAGCTCAGAACCGCCCACTCGCTCGTGTCCAAAGAGATGAAGAGCGGGATCGTCAGCGTGCGGGAAGAACTTCCTGTGCTTTTGTTTCAGAAGATGAGAATGCAAGCTGGATGTTGAAAGCGAACTCGTAAATGCAAAGGGAATTGGCATAAAGGCTTCTTGGCAGCTATTTCGGTTAAGGAACCTGCTCTTGTTTGCTTTGCCTTGTCTTTCACCCACACGTCATTCGTCTGCAGACAAACTGCAGGGCAAGCTGAAAGCCAGAATCGTTCTCGGCCTCTGCCTTGTGAGTGCCTTCTTTAATACATCGGAGCAAGAAAGACACTCGCCTGCCCCTCTGCGAGTGGAAGCTCATCCATTGCAGGACGCACAGTGGAGATGCTTGGCCTGTTGAACCTCTGACTGCCTCTTGCAGGCTGCTGTCCCACTTCCCCCGGGCGCTGCCACAGAGGCAGGAGAGACGGAGCCTTTAGATCCTTCCCTATTTATTTTTATTTATTTATTTAAAGCATTTTTATGCCGTCCCCTTTGCAACAAGCCTCAGGGCGGCTTACAAAACAGATAAATATTGAATAAAGTTTAAAAATCCGGATACATCTCGGCAGGTATATAATAAATAAATAATAACAACAGTTAACAGTTAAAATATCATTTGAATGAAAAGGGTCTTAGCCTGGCGCCGAAAAGCAAATAACAATGGCGTCAGGCGGACCTCTCTCGGGAGCGCATTCCACAGATGGGGCGCCACGGCAGAGAAGGCCCTCCTCCGGGCACTCGCCCTCCTAATATCCTTCACGGAGGGCTCCCGGAGAAGGGCCTCTGCCGCCGATCTCGGGGGGCGGGAGGGCAGATATGGATCTGCTTGAACAAAGATTGGACTTGCAGGGCTCCTTCTGCTGTATAATCCAGTTGCTGTGGCTCTTTTGGGGTTCCTGCCCCGAAAAGTAGGCAAAGCCAACCTGACGCGGTATTGCTTGCAGGCACTGCTTCCCCTCTTAGCTTCTTGCTCAGAGAATCGTCTCCCAAACACTTGGAAGGGCAAAGCAGACATGTTGAAAGGGGAGAGCGGGCGACGTCCTGACCTGCCTTCTCTGACTGCTGGCAGTCCTGGGGGCACGTGCAGCCCATGGAGACTGGCTGCTCTTCAGGACTGTGCTTCAGATCACCGGGGGGGCAGGGCGGGATTTTGGAAGCAGCTGTTCCAAAAGCCACGGCCTCCCTGTCCCCACCACTCTCCAGGAGAGGGAGGCCGCATCTCCGGTGTGTCTGCTGCTCCGTGAAACAGTCCTGGGATTGGTGTTTGCGTTCAGAATTTGGCCAGTTTGTGGAGCGGGGGTGGGTGACTCCGTGGCAATTCGCCGTGCGACCCGAAAGGCTGCTCCCTGCTCACAGACCCCCTTCGGGCGGTGGGGACAAACGCAGGGTGAGTACAAGCAGGACGCACAGACCGTGGGATGGGCCTGCGGAACAGGCAGATACGACTCTCACGGCCAACTCATGAGAAGTCCTGGTTCCCCTCTGCTCGGCCGGGAGTCCCGCGGCCAGGCCGGGGCAGCACCGTTGAAGGAAGATGCAGGCAGGCTGGGGAGGGTCCAGGAACTGGAAACAAAGTGCTCTGGGGAGCGATGGGAAGAACTGGGCATGCTGAGCCTCGGGAGGGGATGGCTGAGAGGAGAGAGCAGGGCCCTCTAGAGCTGCCGTCCAGGGGAGGGTTTGGGTTTAGGTTTCTTCTCGATCATCCCAAGATGCAGGACATGGAACTGTGGGCCAGATTCTGGCTGAGCATCAGGAAAGCCTTCCTGATGGTCCGAGCATGTGGTGGTGGAACCCAAGACCCCAGGAGATGGCGGGCTCTCTCATGGAGACAGAGGGAGGCCTTCAAGGTGCAGCTGGGCAGCCGTCGGGGGCGCTCGACCTTGAGCAGGGGGTGGCCTGGGTGGCCTTCTCGGCCCCTTCCAGCTCTACTGTTCCATCATTCTAAGGTGGCTTCAAAGCATGGATAATGATAGTTACTTTTACAGTATTCTAAGCAGTTTGCTTTTATTATATTATGCATTTATGAATACATCTTGTTATAGGGGAAAAAATCCCGAGATGTGATGCTCTGATGTGATTCTGTGATGCTCTGAGACCTCGGTCTGCAAAAAGAGTGGGTGGGCATTCAGCTCCAGGGGCCTGGGCTGAATCACTGGCTTCGCATTCCTTCCTCCAGTGTCATTTATTCTGTTTGCAGCGCCTGGAACTGGTGGGCACGATCCATGTGCGTGGCTGTATCCATGCGATTGGCTTCTGGCTTAAGGACAATTTTGAAACCTCTTTTGCCATTGTTTTCTCTTTGCTCTTTCTCCAGGTAAGTAAACAGTTTTGCTCTCTGGTGGTTATTCAGATGTGCGTGTTTTGTCTTAAGCACCGGTGAGGATGCGGTTTCTCTTCTCTCAGCAAGCTTAGTAGATTATAAAACTCAATTTCGGATTCATCAACAAGGCTGACATCAAACAGGCCATCAAATAAACAGGATCCACAAGATGTCCGGCACACTATCCCCCCCAAAACCAGTACAAGATGTCGATTTCTGACCAAATGATTGTATCGAGAGCTCCTCTCTTGAACTTGTGCCAAATCAGTTGCTTTTGCCATTGCCACGAGACACACCTTTTCTCCACAACTGCCACCCTTTCTTCAGTTTTTGAGGTGTCAACAGCAGCAAAAGTGTTGCGATCCAGTGTTCCGCATTGTTCTGACATGTTCGTTCAGTCCTGATTTCTGGCAGGAAAAATGAGTCACAATCACGCCCAGTTACGCACCAGCCCACCTAGGGAGGCCAAGGGACCTGCTCCTGCATCCTTTCAGGTCTCTGGTGCCAGATGAACCGTTTTTATTGCTTCCTCTTCAGTGTGGCTGGAGGGTTACTGATACCTAGTTTGTTAATTATGCCTTGAATGTTACTCACTAAGGGACCCAGTTCCCACAAAGGCAACCTGTAATTGGTTTGGTTTCTTTCATTTCTCTGTTTGCTTCGGTGCAGTGAAATGGCACTGTTTTGCTGAACAAGGTTTGCATTTCCAGAAAAGGAACTGAAATTAAGGACGGTTCCTCCAGGGCCCTGAGCATCCATTCCTTGCAGCTGGCTCAGCTGAGCTCCTCAGGAAGCAGTCGTGGAGCTGACATGGAAAGCAGCGGCCCTTTCTGCTTACAAAGGGACCTCCCCAGAACTGCAGTGAATGCGGAACAAGCCTGGGGGGAACACCTGGCGCATCCAGGCTTTCTCGGGCAATCACCTGCCTCGCTCACAGACATGCGCCGGGGAACCAGCTGCCGTCAGCTTCCATTCGCAGCCCTCTTGTTTTCCCCACCATGTTTTCACATCTCAGGAAATGCTCGGCCTTTTCGTCTCTGAGGAATTCGGAGAAGGCTGGCCATCTTGATCGCGCCTTCGGTGTATCTGCTTCTTCCCACAGTCCTTCTTGGACCTGGAATTCACAAGACTGTCGTGTTTTCCCCAGTTAACCTTTTCAAACACAACTCTTGATTGCCCAGAGAGCTCAGTCTCATGTGCCTCATCAGAGGCTGGCTCCATTAAGTTCAATGGTCCTTGCTTCCAGGTGACTTGAATGAGCTGGATAATTTCCCTGATCTCCCAGGTACTCATGGAATCATAGAATAGTAGAGTTGGAAAGGGCCATGAAGACCATCGGGTCCAATCCCCTGCTGTTGCAGGACACCAAGTCACACCATCCCACTCAGGTGCCTGCCCAGTTTCCCCTTGAATGTCCCCAGTGTGGGGGAGCCCCCACCTCTCCAGGCACCTGCTCCCACTGTCCTATTGCTCTGGCAGTGAGGAAGCTTTTCTTGATGTCCAGCCTGAATCTGGGTTGTCGCAACTTGAACTGATTATTCTGTGTCCTGGCATCAGCAAGAAGAGACCTTGACCTTCCTCTTTGTGACAGCCTTTGAGGTACTTACAGAGGGATATCATGTCTCCCCTTGGCCTTCTCTTCTCTTCCCAGTGCTGAACATGCCCAGTTCTCTCACTTGATGCTTATGCTGTGGCTTGGTCAAGCCCTTGCCACGTCCCGGTCAAGGAGCTCACTGTTGCAACACTGATAACCATCATTTCCTGGTTCAGACACAACAGAAAACCAAGGTTACGTTTGGGACTCCTGGTGTTACTCCTGTCGTGTGTGGGGAGGAGCTGCGTGGGTGGAGAAACGCTCCTGCCTTTTCAGTGTAACAAGCCAAGCGGTGAGCACCCAACCAGTCCAGTTGCGTTTTGCCACACTCTCCAGCTTCTAAGCATGCCTCTTGTGGTCTGGTTGGAAGCTCCTGCTAGTTCCAGCAGAGAGTTCAGTGGAATTAACTTACTTCTGGCTGTTAGAATTGCCAAGAGCCACCCATCCACACTGCCCTCACCCCGGAGCTTCAGTGTGCGGCTGTAGGATCTCCAGCCTTGGGAGAGTCCCACAAAATGTGTTCATCACGGAGGCAGCAAGGTGGAATCGCTGACCACTGCGGTGGACGGGGGATGGAGCTTCGGGCAGCCCGCCCGGCTCAGACTAAGCTCCAACGCGTTGAAGCGTTGACTGGCTTTGACGCTGTCAAACCAGGGAGCTTTCTGGGGCAGCAGCCTGGGACACGTGCCGCTGTTGCTCAGAACCTGAAACTTGGGCAGCAGCTGAGTTTTATCATCACTTTGGCTGTCCCTGTTTGTGGAGTCAGAATTGGCTTTTGACAGAGACTCCTGGTGAAGCAGCTGTCAGCTTTTCTCATTCCCACATTTTCTGTGCAGTCTTGTTATCTCTTTCAGGCCTGACTTGTCACACACACACACACACGCGCGTCACATGCACATAGCTTAAATGCACTCTAAGTGCTAGCTAAAGAGCTGTTGAAGCTTTTAAAAATGTGGAAAATAAAATGATTTCACAATAAAAAGCAAAGGGAAAAGAAAACTTCAAATAAAAAGTCCTTACATTTGCTTTCTGGAAGGTACAATGGCTTAGTACACAGCAAGGTGTCAGACCTCTCAAACATGAAAGACCCTTTCCTCCAGGCATGCCTGCTTGGAAGGACGCCCCAGTGAGAACGGTGGAATCTTCTTCTAACGAGTGTGCCTAGGATTGTTGTCCACATAAATAAAGAAAGGACTGCCTTGCAAGGCGAAGACTTCATCGGATGTGGCTGCTCGGCCCCCACACACCTGCTCACACACGCAGGGCACAAGCCTTCCTTGAGACCACATTTCCACAGCTCCACAGCATGAAAGCTTTGCTTCTGTGCAGTGCAGTTCTGTCCTGGTAATCCCCCCCACTTTCTTTCCGTCCTTCCTTCCTGCCTTCCGTCCTTCCTTCCTTCTCCTTTTACCATGGATTGTCAAGGAAGCAAAGGATTGCAAAGAAAATGTTCAAATGCAGGGGTGGGAAAGAAATTTAAAATAAATGTCCCTCAACTTATTATCAGTAGCTGATACGTAAGTCCTGATGAGGCTGTATAAGGAGGAAAAAAGCCAAGGAAGGAAATAAAAGTGCATTAGCAAAGTTGGTCGCCTTTTTAAAAAGAGATCAAACTAGATGGAAGTTCAAGAAAAGACTGTTTCCAATCCAACGGTGACAAGCGGGTAGCCAAGCTCTTGGATTCTGCTGTCTTCCAGGGAGCAAGCCAAAAGATTTTGGTCTCCTCAGGCATTTAATGGCTTTTAATGTTTTTTTAAAGGGTGCCATGTATTTTATCAGCTTTAAACTACCTTTCATTGCTGAAGCTTTTTACATGAAGGTCTATTTTTGTCTGTCTGGCTGCATGCATTGGGAGGCCCAGCTGCTCACAGCCCTTCGTACCACGGTGCAGTGTTAGAAACCAATTTTATTTTAGCTGCATCATCGTGCCGTTACTTGCCACGTGCTGTTTTGGAGCTATTTTAGATTGGTGTTATTCTTATGACTGTGGACCATTTTGCACATGGCAGGTTCTGTGCACATGTCTTGCTCACAGTGCCGGGTCCACCTGTCCGCCAGATCTTGCTCCGGAGCAGCACGGCCTGGGCAGCCAGAGGGGCACTGTGGGCGGAAGGCGCAACTGGGGTGCAGAAAGCCCGGGTGAACAGGATTCCGCAGGTCCCCAGCTTCCCTCCAAGCATCCTGTGGCCTGTCGTTGCCAAGATGCTGCATTGCTTCCAGCCCTTCCCACAAAGATCTCCTCCTCGAAGGCAGGCGAAACTGGCCCTGGCCCGACTCTGCCTGCCACACACTTGGCCCACGGAGCCGGCCCTCGTCTCACCCGCTCGCCTCTGGCTCCTCTTGCACCACTCCTGTGCTGTCGGCAAGACTCTGGTCGCTAAGGAAAGCCCCGCGCTCCTCATATACTTCCAGCAGTTGGGGTGCAGCTGTCTTTTCCAGCCGCTTTCGGGAACCAAAGGCCCTCAGGCAGCCCTTCCAGCAGCCGAAAGCCCTCTGCCCCCACCTCCCATCGCAGCCCCTGCTCTCATCCTCGCGCCTCACCTGCCTTCATGGCAGGGAAAGGGGAACGCTGCTGGTAATTCCAGCTTTGGTTAAGTCAGGGACGTACTTTCCAGGATCCTTATTTCCGCTGCAGCAAGTGCGCTTGCCCCTGCATGAAACGGACTTGGCCAGAGCAGAGGTGTAACGTCCGGCAGCCAAGGCAGCCTCTGTGCCAGAGCTCAGCAAGTCTAGGACAGCCAGCGCTTGGAGGGACGATCGCCTGGGAACCTCCTGGAGTTCCACCGCAGAGGAAAGGCGGATATGCACCCCACAAAGGATGGAAAACAAGCCAGGTGCTTGGAGATGGCTCAGGTGCGAAGCAGGAAGTTCAGCTCTAAGGGAAGAAGGCACCAGCTATTCCAGAGCAGGTGGAGGGAAAGGGGCGGGGAGCTCTTGGAGCGTCCTCTTGAGCCGGACGAGCTCTTTCGTGAGGGCCCTGAAACCTTGGCGCGGGAGCTGCCCTTCTGCAACGAAGCTCACGTGCTGGACTTCCTCTCGGACTACCTAGCAGGAGCCATCTTGGCTTTTTTTGGAATAAAACAGTCTGGATTGTTTCATTGAGTCCTTCGTGCAGTGCAAGTTTTGATCGAGTCCTTCAGAGCAATGCAACGGGGCGCAAGTTTCTCACTGCACAAAACCCTTTCTCTTTAGCAGAGGAGAAAAAGGAAAGAGCCAAAGCTTCTATATAGGCAACTTATGCGGGAGCAGAATCCGGATGGAGGCAATTAGACATCTTCAGTCAGAAACAAGCAACTTCTGTCTGCCTCTAGTTTGCAAAGTGGCAGCTTTTTCTCAATTGGTAACCAGAGGAGGAGGGACTGTCAGTTTATGAGCCATTCTGCATTTCTTGCTTCTTGTAAGAGATGTTCTTCTGTGCAACAGAAAATGTGCCTTCATACGAAGATGTAATAAAATTGGAATTTGTGTTCAGAGCTGTTGCCCTAGAAAGGCAATGCTCTTAGTGACTGGATTATTGAATTCATCTGTATCTCTGACAGCTTGTTGTGGTTTTATTAAAGAATAAGTGGGAGCGGGAATGGCGAGAAGGAGAGGCCGGGCATGAAATTCTGCAGATTGTTGGGCTTCATATTCAAACGTCAAAATGTACCTTAGGCGTCAGAATGCAAATTGCAGCGATTGGCCTGGAACCAGCCATTCATCTTGCCAGCGTTAAATCCACAGCTCCCACATCCAGCCGCTGGAACTTGGTATTCATGAGTGAGCTCCCAGGCCAACATCAATGTTTGAACAGGACTGCTCTCATATTTACAAGCACAAGCATCACCTTGCACCTTCCTGCTGCCTCGCCAGCTGCACGTCAGTCCGTGTTCTCGTGCTGTGCTGATTTTGCGGGGAGATGCACCTGCCACAATGGGTATGAAAACGGTTTTGTGGCAGACGTGGACAGTTAAAGCCACTTGCCTGCTCGATTAGCTGACCACAAGTTCTTGTCCTGTATGCTGAGCAGGACTGGCCTGCTGTGGCCAGGGGCAGTCCTTGCCGTTGCACTGTTCGGTAGCATCTGGCGTGACCCGGCCACCTTTACAGCCCTGCCATCGCCATGATTTACGGCTGGCATGACCCCTTGTGGGCTCTGTCCCTCCTAAATCTGCCGCCTGCCCCTCACACTTGGCCCGGTCTTGCAAAGCAAGCCAAGAGCAGGAAGCCACAAATGCTTGCGGATGAAGGTTGCACAACCAACAGCCTTCTTCTGCAAGGTCAACAGAAATGGAGCCGTCAGAGAACCATGGAATCCTAGAACAGCAGCGTTGGAAGGAGCCATGAAGGCCATCAAGTCCACCCCCTGCTGCTGTAGGACACCAAATGATACAACCCATTCAGATGGCCGCCCAGCTTCTTTTTGGCTGTCTGGGTCTGGGAGATCTTTTGACAGCTAGAAGACTTGTGTGCAGCACCAAAAGGACAAGCCACCTCTTTGGATATCACAGTATGTGGACGAAGTTTTTGAATGTTGGTCTTTCGGTGCAATTGATGGATGGGTGTGCTTTGTTTTCTTGACTGAAAAATGGGTTGCTTTCCAGATAGCTGAGAGTTGTGAGGCTGAGCCCACACTTAGCTCATGGGGTCAGAGGCCAGCTGACTGGATAGAGGGTTGAATATTAAAAAACGGAAGCACAGGCCTGGCACGCAGCTCAGCAAATCATCGGTTAATTAAAGCAAGAGCTGCCATCTTTCCATGGGAATTGCACCATAGTTTCACACTTCACATTGAATTTGGCCCGTGTGCTTCCTGCAGAAAGGCGCTACCATCTGAGTGATCAAGCGGCGGATGCAAGAGAAGCATCTTTCCTGATTTTGCCCGAAAGCCTGGTGTTCTCGGTGAACGCAGGATGGTGTTGATTAACACTGCTGCAATTAGTGCTCCGCAGCAGCATCCACTCTGTCGCTAGCCGCATGTATCTGATTATTTTTGGGGAGCAGAATGCATTCCCTGTTCAGTCTGTTCCTCACCATCGCTGCAGGATTGAGGAAAACATCCGTTGCCATTGGAGGTCCCAAATAGGGACCCTTTGCATGGGAAGAGTCGCATAGTGCCTGCAAGGGAGAAGTAGGTTCACAGCAATTTCCAGCAGCGCGCGGTGCCCTCACCCCCTCGATCCAGATTAATGCTGGCCAAATATTGCTGGTTGTAGCTGCCCCAGGCAGTTTGGCTGCTTCTCTAGCAAGTTGTCTGTCTGTCTGTCCAACTATTGGCCTTCCTGGGAAAGTGAAGCAAGAACTGCCCAAATTCAAGTGCCTGTTTCCACTATGTGGTGTTCGCAGATTCCCTTTAAAAGCGAGCTCCATAAATGCACCCCAACTCTCCTTCATCCTAAGGAAGCCCAAGCTTCCCCATTAAGTTCAGGCCAGCACCCCATTAAGTTCCCACAGACACACGAGGACTCGCTTCCAAGGCCGGCCGAGGCAGGATTAAGCCACTTCCTGTCCCCTGGCCTGGCCTGGACCTCTCATTGCTCTGACAAGGGAAGAAAGCGTATTGTTATTTGGGAGGCGGCATCTGAACTAAGCTGTCCTCCCTGGAGGCTGTAGTGGGGGTGTTCTTCTGTATTTAATTATATATTGTAAATTGAGCTCCTTTGTAATTTATGGAATGAGCATTATTGAATGAACAAGGCAAGTGTTGTAAAGTGAGCTTTGAACAGGATTCTGAAACTGTCTGGGATCGTTCTTCGAATAGAATTAACTGGAAGTTACTGGGCCTTTGTAAAAGGGGGTGGGTGGCCAACTCCAGCCGAGGAATGAGACCGACTGGGGTGGTCAGAGACAGGGTACAGCCCAAATTCACGAGAGGTGTAATCCTCTGCACATTTAGACTGGAGAAGCTCCCAGGGAACGGAAAAGAACGAACAAGGGAGAGACTTCTAGCAGGGTCTGAGCAGCCGCGTGGCAGTTTGGTGAACCCTCCAGCTGCCCTCGATCAGGACGCAGACTCTCATGCTGTAGCCCAGGTTCAGGTCGCCAGAGTCCCTGGACCATCTTGCTCTGGTTTTGGTTTAGATGTCAAACCGGTGTGTGCATCTCTCTGGCAGGCCATAGGCTTGATAATGGCCTGGTTCTACTGGCAGAAGCTCAACGAGATTCACTCCAGGCTGGACACCGTGGACTTCAAGGTCCTGAACTTTGGCGATATCGACTTTGCCACCCTGGACCTCAGCGGGGCCGGCTGGTGCTGGTGCTTGCCCCGAGAAGGCGGCTACATTCCTGTCCAGGACAGAGAGGACGACGGGGTGGGTGATGCCGTCTACCCAAGTGGAGTATGCCCTTCTGGGGCTGTTGAATGACTGGCGCCGAGAGGCCTGGGGCATCCACGGACTCAGGCCGGCCGGCCGGCCGGAGGGCCTTACCCTCGTGTTTTGCAAAGCCGTCGGCACAAGGGGCGCTCTCCTCGGCTTTCGGGAGGAAGGCCGCGTGTGCAGTTGCGTGATGTTCACGTTCAGGTAGTTCTTTCCTGATGTTAAAGTTCTACTGTGTTTTGTATTCTCCGAAATAAAAATCAGTTTGTCCTTGGTTTTTGCCCTCCGAACTGCAGGAGCAGAGAGACCTTGCGGAGTGTGCCTCTCATGCGCAGGTGTCAAGCGCAATGCCGCGTTTTGGACACTCACTGCTGTGTTTTCCCGTGGACTTGCAAGGGGTGCTGCCCTTTCGCTGCGCACCAGGGGGTCCTCAAGCTTTCAACAGGGGGCCAGTTGAAAGGTGCCAGCGGTGGGCACAGGCCAGCAAGGCGGTCCTGACGGGGGGCACGGCCGGTGAGGGGGTGGGGGCGGGGGGCACGCCCGAGGTGGGAGGAGGCGCGTGTGGCGAGGCCACGGCTTGTTCGTGTGGAAGAGGTTTTCTCCGCATGAATCCAAAATGCTCTCTGTGCGAGCAAGCCGTTGCGGCGAGTTCAAAACCTCTGAGGCAGGCCAGATAAACGGGCATAGCGGGCTGGATCCAGCCCCTGGGCTGTACTTTGAGGACCCATGCTGTACATGTTTGAGTGCTACAATATCCCTTTTTAGGAATTGTGCGCTGTATTTCAAAAGACCCAAAGCAATTTACAGCAGAACTATTAAAACACGCAAAATCTCACCGAGCTGGGACAATTCCCATCTGAGCCTCCAAACATAGCAGGGAATCCACACTGGTGTTGCTGGTTCTGCCTGGAGGTGCTCTTCCGCAGGGGGTCAGGGCGGGGGGCTGCAAGCGTGATGCATGACCAGAGCCGGGGCTGGGGGGCACTTCAGGCTGCCGCAGAGTCAGGCATGGGTGTCCAACGCCAATTCTCTGCTGAATGGCAGAGACATCCTCACACGAACTCAAGTAACCTTGGGGAGAACGAGGGCGGGGGAGGGAAAAACCTGCTGATGGTTTCCTGCTAAGAAAACCATCAGCAGGTTTGCAGTGGCTGTCAGGAAAGCCATTCCAGAAATCCGGCGTGGAAGCTCGTGGGAGGTTAGGCCATTCAGCACAAGCCTCTCCAAATTATCCCATCACGGGCTGAGAACGGCAACCGGCGAGTGACGAACGAAGGCCGTGGTTCCGCAGAGGAACGCGTGCCCGAGCAGCCGCCATGCGCCCGGCCTCCTCCCTCGCCCGGCATCCCATCTGTTTGCGCAGCCCATCCGGACCACATTCAGGCACGCAAGGTGGCAAGAAGCCATGCTGCCTTTTGGCTTAGCATCGCGGGCAATGGATGGAGAGGGAATGCCTGGAAGGGATCCTGACGCTGCAGTGCCATCTCGTTCAAATGGCTGCTGTGTCTGCAGGGCGGAGCGGCGGCTTCTCTCAGGTGCTTCTGGTTTGGCAACGGGGAATCCCAGGAGCATAACATAGAGTTGGAAGGGCTGGCGAGGCCAGTGTCCCTCTCCCTGCTGCGGGCAGCACTCCAGGCTGATGCAAGCTGTCCTCTTGAGGCCGCCTGAACGCCTCCAGGGTGGGAGAGCCCACTGCCTCCCTGGGTCTCGGGCTCCCCTGCCGCACTGCACTAACACTCAGGGTGGGGGGTCTTCCTGAAGCCCAAACCTGCCTTCCGGTACCCGGAGTCTGTTCTTCCATGCCCCACACTCTGGGAAGATCAGGAAGAGATCCGGGCCCTCCTCTGTGTGGCAGCCTTTCAAGTACTTGCAAAGTGCTCTGATGCCTCCCCCAAGCCGCCTCCTCTCCGGGCTAAACAAGCCCAGTTCTTTCCATCTCTCCCCAGAGGGCTCTGTTTCCGGTCCCCGGATCACCCTTGCCGCCCTCCTCTGAGATTTTCCAGTTCGTCTGCATGTGCCTTGAAGTGTGGTGCCCAGAACTGGACCCAGGGCTCCAGATGGGACCTAACTAGTGCTGAATACGGGGGAACTGGAGCCTCACAGTTCTGGGAGCTATACTTCTATGGATGCAGCCTGGTATAGCATTAGCGGGTTTGGCTCGGCTCAGTATGTAGCCACATCTCAATGCTGACTCATACTCAGTTTGGGATCTACAGCAATCCCAAGATCCTTCTCATTTTCTTGAGCCAATTTTCCCGAGCCCCATCCTGTGACGGTGCATTTGGTCACTTTCCTGGGTGCTGGACTTGGCGTTTGTCCCCGCCGAATCGCATTCTGTCGCTTTCAGCCCAGTAGTCCAACCTATCAAGATTTCTTGGAAATTTGTTTCTGCCTTCCAGGAAATTCATGGTCCCATCCATCTTTGTGTCGTCTGCAGATGTGACAAACTTTCCTCACACTTCTTCATCCAAGTCATGCGTGGAAATGTTGGGGAGCAGGGGGGCCAGGGCTGATCCCTGCAGTACCCCCTCAGTACCCCCCCAGCCTGGGAAGGCACATCTGGCAAGGACTGGGCGGGAGTCCGGCTGGGACATCCGGGGCCCCTGGGAGGCCTTGGCCTGCAGAAAAAAGGGGGCCGGTGTGGTGACCCCACTGGTCACCTTCTGCCTCTTTGCTCAGGACCACCAGAAAGACGCAAAGGGGAGCACTGGGCTCCGGTGGTGCGTAGCTGCAGGATCCGGCCATCCGCCCTGCCTTCTGCCCAGCTGCCGGTGAGCGCTGCTCTTCCGCGTCCTCCATGGGATCCGCCTGCCCCGTGACGGCGGCCTATGCCGGGAAGAATCAATCCCTGGCACCACTGGGAAGTCGCACGGCCCTGAGCAGGGGCGGGGGAGTGCTGCTCCCGCTCTGCCACCCCTGCTGAAGGACGGCTCATTCTGCGGCCGCCGGGCCTCGCCGCCATCTCGGTCCCGCAGCTGCAGGTCCCCGAAGCCTTTCCGGGGAAGCACACGGTAAGCCTGCGCCGCTTGGGCCGGTTCGCGTCTGCTTGGCCGGAGCTGCTCCGGGAGGGGAGGGGAAGGTGCGGCTCTTTGCCTCTTGGTCCTTCGTGCAGAGCATCCCGGTCGCGGGCATCGGCACGGCCGCTCTCCCACCACCCCTTCCCCCCGGGACCAGCCGCTGGTGTTGTTGCCGCCTTGGCTGCCCAGCCGCCTTATGCCTCCCGGTCCAGAGCGCGGTCATAGGTTCACAGAAGAGCAGAGCTGGAAGGGGCCAAGAAGGCCATCGGTCCAGCCCCCTGCTGCTCCAGGACCCCCGTTCCCCCCCCCCCCCCCACTCAGAGGGCTGCCCAGTTTCACTGCCTTCCCGGGTTTGATCATCCACACTTGCGAGCCCATCGTCCCCAGGTCTGCGTGCTCCGTTTCAATTTGCCCCTCTTCGGCTTTGCCTGAATCACTTTTAATGCATTGCTCTAACCAGTTGTAGCCTGAAAGGCAGGAAAACAAACTGGAACGTTTGCATGTGGGCTATTTTGGCTGGCCTTGAAAGCGGCAGCTTTTGCTTCTTCTGGATAGGCCAGCCTGACTGTCTTCTCTGCACCCCGCCAGGGCTGGGGCCGGGGCCGGGGCCGGGGCCGGGGCCGGGGCCGACCTGGTGGGGCTGATCCAAGGACTCTTGCCAAATCTTCCGGTCGGTAGTTGTGCCAGGCGGTGTGTGCAAAGGACAAGGGACTTAATCAACACAAGCTTATGGCCATAACTATAACCAATTGATAGTTATATGATTATATATGTGTACAAATTACATATACAAATTATATATTCATAAGTTATTGATAATAACTTATAATACTAATTCAAAATTAATTGCTAAACTGAAAAATAAGAAGGATAAAATGTTGCCCCGTGGTTGGCATCCCTGATGCATATTGAACCACCTTTTTGTTACTTATTTACTTGTTAGATTTCTATCCTGGCTCTTTTTTCCCCAAGAAGTTGAAGCAGCCTGCATCACTCCCCCACCCCCCCATGCTCCCTCCTATCCCCACGTCAACAACCACCCTGTGAGGTAGGCTGGGCCGCGAGTCTGTGGCTGGCCCAGAGTCCCCCTGCTGGCTCCAAGGCTGCGCTGCGTGGGGATCGGAGCCCGGATCCCCGGAGTCTGGGCCATGCCCTCGGCCGCCCCATGGCCAGCTGAAGGAGCGCCGTCTCCTCCAGCAGACGTGGGTCAGAGCGTGCCGGCCCCAGAGAGCTGGCGGCGGGGGCCACGCTCGCGCGGAGGGCGGGAGCCCAGCCCTGCCCACCCGGGCCTGGCCGCTGGCCCGGCATCAAAGTGACTTTGCGGCGATTGATCTTCCTGCCACGAACGGTCGCCGTCGCTTATTCAGCAGCCCGTGAAGGATAAGCCACTGCACGTGACTTTGCCTCTGTGACTGGAAAAAAACGGGAAGGCGCTCCATGATCACAAGAAAGCCAGACTCTCGAGGCCTGCGAAAGAGCTGCACCTTTGCAGTGCGAGTCGCACGCCCGAGGAGAGCACACCTGCCCCTGCACGCCTACCTTCTTTGTCCCAGTTCTGTACCCTGAAGAGCTCTCTGGAAGCATCACCATTAAAACCCCAAGAAAACACTCTCAGATCAGATGATCAATGCTGTCCCGAGGTGGAAAGGCCCTCCTTCAGATCACAGGTGGTGGCTCGGGAGGCAGCGGTCTCCTCCTGGAGAAAACCGCTTCCTCGCACAAAGCTGGGTGCTTCTCTTCGCGAGAACAGCCACGCTGCTCGTGATGAAAAGCTCTGCACCGCCTCGCCCTGTGGCACGCAGTGCAGAAGCCGAGGGAAGCCTGTGGGACGAGTGGTGCGTGTTTCGAAGGAGGAACAGTTACGAGCGACGGCTGGGCCCCTTCGCTCTTTCTCCTGCTTGCTGCCTGGCTGCCCTGCCCTGCCCTGCCCTGCCCATCGAGGAGGCATAGCCCTGCGAAGGGCCCCCCTGGCCGTTCTGACCTTCACGAATAAATAGCGGCCCGGCCCCATGCACTTCTGGGCAGCGGGTTCGGTGGGGAGGCCCGGAAGCACCCACTGACCCTTCCCAAGGTGGGCGTTGTCTGGCGTGCTGGGCTTGCGCCGCTGGCTCTGTGGGCCGTTTCAGCCGCCAGGCGAGACGCTCCTCCAGGCTTTGCCGCGCACGTTCCTGGCCAAGGAGCACCTGTCCGTCTTTCTCCACACTCGTCCCTGCCAGGAGCGGTGCATTCGCTCTCCCAGACGGGACCCTTCCCAGAT